CTCATGAGTGCCCTTCCCCCAGCTCAAGCACCTGGCAGGTCCAAGCACAGATTGTACATACAAGTCTCCCCAGTTTCCTCAAAGCCAATCTCTCTGTCTTACAGAGAACCAGGACATACCCCTCTCCCACACACACACAGTGCTCAGGTCATTCCAAATGATCTCTCTCCAAATCCACTGTCCATCCCAGTCCCAACCCCGTGAGGGAGGGCGGAAAGGCATCTAGCCAGTTCTCTGCCACCTGCTTTCTGCAAGTCCCACTGGGCCGTCCACAGCAAGCTCCCTCCAGCATCTGGTCTCAGCTGAAACTCCCCTGCAACATCTCCCTGCCAGGCCCACAGCCTCAGGGTACAGAAGTGTTGGGGGTGGCCACAGAGAGGTGTGGAGAGAGAGGAGTTTGCGAGTCTCGGGAACTGTGTGACACTTTCATGCTCGTGATTCCACTTACCCTGCCTGTCAGCAGAGAGCCTATTTTTATAGGTGTTTTCTCTTCTCCTGAGAATCATGAGGTCTCCATGTTATCAAATTTCTCACTACCTGCCCAAGAGAGATATTGGTAATTATGCACTTGCTCCCACCGGGGCTGCACTGTGGTGGTGCTGCTCTTTTTCCACCCCAGAAAGTGCCCACAGACCTACCCACACTCCACTGTGGGCCTCGCACACAGCCTTCATCCATTGCTGGTCAAGTGGCGATATGAGCAGAGTGGTGAGATGCTCACTGAGGTAAATTTGTTCCATGTGGAGTTTTTACCTTTTGTCCTAAAATTACATCTTTCCAATCTCTTTGGTGTTAAAATATCCATTCTATATAATTGGCTTTTTAAGTGAAGTAACTAGGGGAAGGGGAAAATCAGCAGACTATTCGACCCCCATTTGCTTTTGATTTGCACACCAAGCATTTTAGAATTCTTGTTCCTAGGAGTGAAGTACAAGTCCGGGTCCCCTCACTCTGACAAAATCAGGATTCTCACCCACAAGTGCATGAATTCCTACTGGGAGGTGGGAGGCAGGGGTCTATCCCAGTTGTCGCTGAGGTGCTGTGTGACCACAAGGGAGACACTCACCTTATCTGAACCAACCTTTTTTCCTTTGTCTCTAAAGCCCAGCTAACAGTCCATACCTGTCTCCCCTTAGCATGAGATGAGGGCTAAACCTGTTCATTATTCACCTCTCAGGGAGCCTGGGAGCAGGAAATATCCTCCTCAGCCCAGTTCTCCATCTTCCTGCCACCTGTCTCTCTCATCCCACGCTCAAGGATCCCAGACCAGGCCATCTTTAGCAATGTCCTCAGCAGCTATCTAGCCATCCCAAATATGTCTGGCAGGGCCAAGGGACAGTGCTTTCATTTGTTTGTGCTGCTATAACAAAATACCTGAGTTTGGGTGACTTATAAAGAGCAGAACTCTGTTCCTCACATTCTGGAGGCTGGAAGTCCAAGATGAAAGCCCTGACAGGTCCACCCTCGGGTGAGGGCTCCATTCCCTGCTTTCACAAAAATGCCTTGTTGCAGCTGCACCTTCTGGAGGGTGAATGCTGTGTCCTCACAGGTGGAAGGCAGCAGGGTAAAGGGGTCCAAGCTAGTTTCCTCCGGCCCTTTTATAAGGCACTAATCCATCCATGAGGGCAGAACCCTCGTGAGTTAACCACTTCCCCAAAAGCCGCACCTGTGGATGCTATGGGGCTTGGGTCTCAGCATCAATTTGAGGTGGGACACATTCAAACCACAGCAGATAGGAAAGGAGAAAGGGATGGAAGAGAGAAAAAGGAAGGAGAAGTTGCATGGGGTGAGGGAGATGGGGGTCACCAGGCAGCAGGCTCTGAGGACCTCTGCTGGGGGTTCTTGTCCTCCTAGAGGACATCCCTGGGTTCCATGGTCAGGGGTGCTTCTCCCCCTCCACCATCCTCCCTCTCCTAGCAGTGGGCCCCCTCTACCTTGAGAGACTGAGGTCAGGACACTCAGCCCCTACATTTTGTAAACGCCCAATAACTGATTGTTGGACTGAGTTGCAATTTTCTCTTATTCCTCCTACTAAACTCTAAACTCCTTAAAGGCATGGACTCTGTGTTTTATCCTTATATATAATCATTTGTGGAGGATGTAACAGTCAGGAGAAACTAGGTTACACTGCTATAACAAATATCTCAGTGGCTTAACACACCAAAGGTTTATTTCTTCTTTGTGTTCCATGTTCCCTGGCGTCTCTGCACTTGGGGACTCAGGTGGATAAGGCAGCCTCTGTCTGGAACACTGCTAGTCACTGTGAGAAAGGGGAAAAGAGCCCCACAGTGTCCTTCCTACATTGATACCTAAATGCAGGCATCCTCAAACTACAGCCCACAGGCCACATGCAGTCCGCCTAGGACTTTTATCCAGCCCACCAGGTGTTTTTGCCGCCACTGCCTGTCCTGCTTAGCAGCCAACTTGTCCCAGGGCCCGCAGTTGGCCCTCCAATGGTCTGAGGGATGGTGAACTGGCCCCCTATTTAAAAAGCCTAAATGCTTCCACCCAGAAGCTATGTATTTCCTCCCACTCACATTTATTTAGCCAAAACAAGACACATGGCCATGCTAAACTTCAGGGCACCCAGAATGTAAGAGCTGGAACAATGGTCAAATAACAGTTGTCCCTGCCACTTGAGGCAGCAATGAGGACTGACAGACAAAAGTAGGCTTTGACAAGGGACAAACTTGGACTTGAACACCAGCCTGGTCTTTTGCTGGCCGCGTCACCTTGAACACGTCCCTTCGTTGCTCCAAGCCTTGGTTATCCACATCTATAAAATAAACTTTCAGAAAGTACCAAAAGATCATTGTAAAGATAAAAAATAATATATCTGAAGCGCCTAGAAAGACGTATATCCTCAAAAAATGTTTATTATTAGCCTTAGCCTCTGTTCACTGGAAATTAGCACAGAAATAGTATTTAGCTCGATCACTGTGAATTGGTATAGAGATGTGAGTGATGATGCCTGATGAGATAGGATCATTAGCAACATCATTTAGAAACTATATGCCGAAAAGTAAATCCCAGCAGGGTGAGTAGTCACCATTATTCTTATTTTATGGAAATGCAGAGTAGCTCATCATAGTTTTACATCTTGCCCCAAACCACAGCAGATAATCAAGATAGACAACATTTAATGCAATAGCTAAAATTTACTGAGCATTTACTGTGTTCAAGGCAGTGTTCTAAGAACAAACTTCAGCACACAGATCAAACCCAGCCCACTACTTGTCTTTGTAAATAAAGTTTTATTGGAACACAGCCACACCCATTTGGATATGCATTATTTATGCCCACTTTGTTGTGTGGTTGCAACAGAAGCTGTATGGCTTTGCAAAGCCCAAAATACTTACTGATTCTTGACAGAAAAAGTATGCCAACCCCGTTTCTATGTCTGCATCATTTTAGCTTGACATCATGCAAAGGAGAGCCCCACCTGAGTCAGTGCTATACAGGAAGCCACAGTATGACCTCTCCATTCTTAGAATCACATGTTGGTCACACCTCCCAGACTAGGGGGAGCCGTGTCGGTAAGCCCTTCAAAATATCATATGACTTTCACTACTTCCTAAATGCCATCAGATTTTTACCCTTTGTTTCCTCAATCATTTCCTGGGCTCTGACTCCAGTCACTCCACCCTCTGTTTCTTGCTGTGGGCTCCCCTTTGCCTTTGTCCACAAATATAAGTCAGAACTATCACAAAACAAATGGCACAGAGGCTCCCAGAGGTCACAGATGTTGTGAGCACCCCAGAACAGCAAGAATAAGCCCTTGTCAGCTGAAAGATGTTACAGATGCATTGAGAATCTACCTCACATTTAAGAAACTATCTCAGGCAAATTGTGTTATAATAAGTCACATTGTAAGGGATGGATTTGATCAAGTTTGTATTTCATCCATCTAGTGTTTCTTCCATCTAGTTCACATCAAACCCCATGAGATTGGCACCACTGTTATAATCCCCATTTCCCAGGTAAGGAAATCGAGGCAGGGGAGGTAACCATCTTGCCCCTACATCTCATGGTAAACCCTGTGAGATTAGTGCCAGTGTTACTATCCCCATTTCCCAGGTAAGGAAAGCAAGACAGGAGAGGTGATCTTCTTGCCCCCATGTCTCATGGTAAACCTTATGTGATTAGTATCACTGTTATTATCCCCATTTCCCAGGTAAGGAAAGCAAGGCAGGGGAGGTAACCATCTTGCCCCCATATCTCACAGTACTATAGAGACCAGGATTGGAGTCCTGGCTTCTGTCTCAGAGGCATGCACTGATCTGCTGAACTCTTCACTCACTAATGCCAACAGGAAAGATGACTGTTTAATTTCATTGTATAATCTGGCAGATTCATCACTCTGCTATTTCCTAGTAAACTCATCTCCTAACACCTAGGTAATGGGTATTTTATCCCTAAAGTGTTTGCCCCGACCAGCCATAGCTAAAGTTTCCATAATTCATATATATGTCTCTGGCTACATTAAGGCATTTGCTTGAGTAGCCAAATAGAAATTCTCCCATGGCAAAAAATTATCCCCATGCGATTTGTTACACTAGCTCCACAACTGTGGGCTGAGATGCAGGAAGTGGTGAGTGAGCCCTGATCTAGGCTTGAAGAAACAGGTGCTCTGGCTAAGCTCTACCTGGCACTGGCTGTGTGTCCATGGAAAAGTCACTTGCCCTCTCTGGGGAAAGAAGGATGTTTAAATACATTTCCAAAATGTCCTTCCCACATGATACAGTACAGAGGATGACAGTAGGGCCTCTGGGGCCAACGAAACCAGAATTCAATGCTCAGCCTTACCCTGGCTATAAGGCCTTGACTTTGGATGCCCTTCATTTCTCTGAGTCCCAGCTTCCCCTGCTATGATCAGAGATCCTGGTGCCATCCTCACTTGGCTGCAGTAAGCAAGGGCAGGTAAGCATGTGCTTATAAACTAAAAAGCTTTGTGCAAACGTGTAACCATCACTACTATCGCTATTTTTTCCCAAGGCTTTGCGTCCCAGGCTTTCTGAACGCCATGTCTGCGGCTCCTGCCAGCAATGGGGTATTTGTTGTCATCCCGCCCAGCAACGCCAGTGGCCTCCACCCACCTCCAGCCATTCTGCCCACCTCCATGTGCCAGCCTCCAGGGATTATGCAGTTCGAGGAGCCCCCCCTGGGGACACAGACACCAAGGGCCACCCAGCCACCTGACCTACAACCCATGGAGACTTTCCTGACAGGAGAGCCCAAAGCTTTGGGGGTAAGAACAGCTTTTCCGGCTGATCTGAAGCACGGGTAGTGAGAGCCCCAGAACCGGAGCCCAGCTTGGAGAGGGAAGCAGGCAGTTGACAAATTCTTAGTGAGGACTCAGGATTCGCCCATGCACCAGATAGACCGAAATGCTCCCCCTCATGGAGCTCACAGAACAAACCAGTAAACAAGTGGCTAAGATAACTCCAAAGACAGCAATGAGGTAGAAAATTATAGCTAGGGAGAGGTGATGCCGGCCATGGTGGACAGGGAGATCTCTCTGGAGAGATGACATTCAAGCTAAAGCCTAGCTGTGGGACTGAAGCCGGTCAAGGGAAGATCTGGTGGAGGTGGCTGCAAAGAAGTGTTTACCCTGTAGGAGGAACTTCAAGTGCAAAGGCCTTGAAGTGGGAATGGCTGTGCTTGTTCAAGAAAGAAATAGAAGGGTGACTAGATGGCTGGTGTGTAATGAGCAAAGGAAGGAGGGATGTGAGATGAAGTGGCAGGGGAGCACAGCTCCTCTAGTGCTTATGACAGTCCTTGAGAGATGAACTGAGCTCTTTCCCATTTCAGATGGCCTTGAAAGACTGGTGTCTAGGAGGGAATAAAGTATTAGATAGATAGATAATAGATGATAGACGAAATAGAGAGATGCACACACATACTCACACGTGTATGTATATACGTGTATCATTGAAAAGAAAAACTTTAAACAAATTCAATTTAGCAGAGTTTATTTGAGCAAAGAATGAATCATGAACAGATTCAGAGAGCTCCACCCAGGAGTGTGAGCAACAAGCTTTATAGGCTGAGAACAGAGGCCAAGTAGAGAAATCCCCTGATTGGCTATAGCTGGGTGTTACACAGGATGTGCTGAGTCATTTGCCTTACCTGAGCACACTTGGATCAGTTAGCTGAAGTTTATCTGTTTATAATTGGCTGAAACCCAGCTACGTGTTACAAAAAATATACTCTTAGTTAGGTTTCAGTTTGTTTACAAACTGTGAGGTTGCAGGTTGTTCTGCAGGAGCTCAAAGTACAGAGACAGGCAAATGGACTCCTGTTTATTTCACATACATATATATATATGTATATATATATATATATGTATGTGCAAGCACACACAGTTTGCCCCTTGGCTTCAGTTTCCCTAAGTGGGAGATGAAAATATAGTTTAGGCAATGGTGATGCTGATGACAGTGATGCTGATGACAGCTCCTGTTTATTAAGTGTCTCTGAGAGGTGCACGCACTGTGCCAAAGTCTGCACGCATTGTCTCCATGGATTCTCAGCACCGCCTCATAACACCCAGCGGAATATAGTTCCCATTGAATGGATTAGGAAACTGAGATTTTGTCAAGGCTAAATCACTCGTCCAAGGCCAACATGGCCGGACCATAAAGTTTTGCTTTCAACCCATCTGCATTGTGGCATCCAGGACCTCTGGCTCAAACAGGATGAAATTTATAATTCTGCCCTAAAAGCTATACCACATCCACTAGTATAAAAGGGGACGGGAGACATTGGACAAAGAGGGGTCATCAATTGCTGGAAACTTCACAGCAGACCCTGGAACAAATTCTCCCCCTCCCCAAGTAATTTAATGAGACAAATACAAATTGCCAAAAAAGTGGAAAATACAAATAAATGTCACCCATTGAGAATTACACCAGCTTTGGAGTTAACCAGCCTGCCACTTCACAGCTGGGTGACCTGGGGTAGGTTACTGAACATCTCTGAGCCTAGGTTTTCTCATCTCCAAAATGAGGGTAGTATTACCTACCTTGTCACATGAGGATTAAATGAGATCATATCCCTAAAACTCCCAGCACAGTATTCAGCTAGTGGCAGGTGCTGTCCTCCAAGGAGTAATCACAGTGACTTCAGTGGTCTAGTAGCAGGGTAGAAGGTATAAGGAAGGAAGAGTGATGTTGGCACCTGTGACACCCACCGTGCCACACAGAGCAACAATAGGACACTGATGGGATGAAAGATGGGCAACCCAAGAGAGAAAGAGGCTAAGATTCAAGGGGTCATATCATGGGTATCCAAATATGTATTCCACTTGGTGACAAGTACACAATTCTGGCTGCTCCCATCAAGACTGCTCTTAAAAGGACCGTGCTGGTTCAGGTTGGGGTGAGCACAGGTCACTGAGGAGCTGGTCTGGAAGTAGCAGCAGGAGGGGACTCTTGGACTAGACAAAGGCTGGATTCAGGGGTCTCGGACATCTCTTGCCAACCAGCTGTAGAATTCAAGAGTTACCAGAAGCAATATTTTTGCAGTGTGGCAGAACTTCCAGAAGCCCACCTGTCCTCACCCTTGAAAAAACCTTTGCACTTCTGGGAGTGTCAGAGGGGTGCTTGGAAACCAACTCCCAAAATAAACAATAATGTTAATAATCTAGGGTGAGATTTCAGCTAGGAGGGACGCAGCTGCACATCAGCAATACAGGTTGACATACTAAGGTGCTCAAGGAGGGGTGCTGGCTGCAGGCTGGAGGGGGTGTCTGGGCGCGAGGGAGGGCAGCTGAGGCTTTCAGTGCAGAGAATGTTGTGAGTCCTTGAAAGGAGGCCTGAGAAAACCAGGCAGCTCCGTACAGGGATGCTTGAGATCCCAGCGCTGAAACACAAAGCAGGAGGCAGCCCGGCTGGGAGCTGGCCCTTGTGACTCCTTTCTTAAAACTGTCTTTACCATGCACCTCCAAAGGGAATGTGAAGCTTTCTCCCAGTCGCGGACGGGAAGCTGGTGAGGGTGGGCAGGGCCGCGCGCTCCTCCGCCGGCAGGAGGCGGTGTGGAGCACAGGTCTGAGCACCCCACTCCCCACTCCCCCCCCACCCCGCCCGCTCCCACAGACCGTGCAAATCCTGGTTGGCCTCATCCACCTGGGCTTCGGCAGCGTGCTGCTCATGGTCCGCCGCGGCCGTGCAGGAATGCTGTTCATCGAAAGCGGCGTCCCCTTCTGGGGTGGAGCCTGCGTGAGTGCTGGGGCCATCTGGGGGGCCCTGCCCAGACTCACTTGTGCCCGCTGCTCCCATCCCCGCCCTTCTCCCAGGCACAGTCCCTCCTGTGTGGGGGCCTGGAGATATTTACTAGGAGAACTAGAGTGTAAATCTAACTCCTTACCTCAAACCTCATCATAAACCTAAGCCTGACTCCACTGCAATATATGAAAAGCGCCAGAGATGGCTGCCTAGAAAGATGGGAGGAAGGGGGTGAGGAGCAGGTCCTAACCCCCTGTACTATCCTGATCCTAAGCCTCAGCCCCTGCATCCGAACCCCACCTGAAGAAATCCTTCAACTCCCCTGAGTGGGTCCCACCCCTCCATGAGCTCAGTCTCCTGGGACCCTGACCAACTCCGAAGCCCTCCCCCCCCCAGCCCATTCCTCTGACCACACCCTGACCAAGCAAGCCGCGCCCCACTCCCACCCCCCGTTGCTGGAGCACCTGGTGAGCAGGTTGTTCTCATCATTAACGTGAAGAGAGAGCGCTGCAGTGTTTACCAGGCAAACACTCGTGTTTGCACCTGCATCAACATCACCAGAGCCCCCAGCCGCCTGAGGAAGCACAATCCAGCTCCACGGGGTAATACTGTGGAGTCCCTTAGGCAAGTCACTGAGCCTCAGGCCTCAACTTCCTCACCTAAAAATTGAGCTCATAGGTTGTGGCTCTGCCTGTCCCACAGTTTACTGAGGAGATCAAGAGCTAAAGTACATGGCAGCTGGTTACTAACCACACAATTTTGCACAGATGGTGCAGAAGTGATGTCATGACAATTCCCTTTTTGGAGAAACGTCAGAGATTTGCATGGGAGGAGCCTCTGTTGAGTGAGTGTTGGTTCCAGAACTGGAGCCTGTGACATTCTTCCCTTGCCCAGACTGCCTCCAACAAGAACTCAAAACCTCCCAGAGTGGGGCTCCAGGGAGGCCACATTGCTGACACCCCACAACTAGAGCAGGATGGTCGCCAGGTCATGCTTGGGGACAAGCTCTAGCCCTTTGAATGATCCACAGCGTCCCAAAGTTGGAAAATGCTGGCAAGTGGCAGAGCCTAAGGGGGAAATCTTAATAGGAGGAAGCAAAGGTGTCGCCTCTTCTCTGAGCTTCCTGCTGCCAGACTTTATCACAGATATTCCCAGTCAAGTTTTCAAAAAAGGGGGAAGAAAAAAACCAAAACTCTGCTTTTCAATCTCAGGACCCCAGGTCAGGGGACCTGAGAGCACATGTGAGCTCCAATATTTAATCACTTAGTTGGATCTTTTTTTTTTTTTTTTTGAGACAGAGCCTCAAGCTGTCCCCCTGGGTAGAGTACCGTGGCATCACAGCTCACAGCAATCTCCAACTCCTGGGCTCAAGCGAGTCTACTGCCTCAGCCTCCCAAGGAGCTGGGACCACAGGCACCCGCCACAACGCCCGGCTATTTTTTTTGGTTGCAGCCATCATTGTTGTTTGGTGGGCGCGGGCTGGATTTGAACCCGCCACCTTAGGTGTATGTGGCTGGCGCCTTACCTGCTTGAGCCACAGGCGCCGAGCCACTCAGTTGGATCTTATTATCAATGACCTCTGGGGACCCCTGAATGTATAAGAGTATTTTGTGCTTTTTCCTTTTCTTTTTGGCAGGGGCTTGGTTTGAACTCACCACCTCTGGCATATGGGGCCGGCACCCTACCCTTTTGAGCCACAGGTGCCGCCCATATTTTGGGCTTTTTCATTATGTGCATTTTTCTAGAAAGAGCTCATAGCTTTACTCAGAGGCTCAAAGGAGTTCTTGGTTGAAAATTCCCAAAATTCCAGGATGGGAAGACAACTTGGTACAGAAGGAAAGAGGCAGAACAGCTGGCACATGGTTCTTCTCTGTACGCCCTGAACAAATCGCTGCCTCCCTCTGGGGCTTGCCCTCTTAATCTGTATGACTATGTAGTATCTGTCTCTTGCCCTGAGGGCTGAATTCTAGATCCAGCCACCACCATCTTTTTCTGTTACTTTTCTTTCTTTCTTTCTTTCTTTTTTTTTTTTATGAGACAGTCTCACTCTGGGTAGAGTGTCATAGCTCACAGCAGCCTCAAAGTCTTGGACTCAGGTGATCCTCTTCCCTCAGCCTCCTCAGTAGCGGAGACTAGAGGTGCCCACCACATCACCTGCCTAGTTTTCCTATTTTTAGAGGCCTCACTCTTCCTCAGGCTGGTCTTGAACTCCTGAACTCAAGCAATCCACTCACCTCAGCCCCCCAGAGTGCTAGGATTATAGGCATGAGCCACCACGCCTGGCCCAGCTGCCATCTTGACAGCTCCACTGTACTTGATGTTGAAGAGGAAACTCAATACAGTAGACCCTCTGTAAATTGACTACCCAAGGAACAATAACAAACTAGTCAATGTACAGAAGTGGTCAACATAAGGAAATAGGCCTACTGTACTGATAAATGTGGTACATGTCTGCTCTATGAAAATTAGGTTAACATGAGAAGGTGGTCAATGTAGAGAGGTGATGGACTATGGAGGTTCCACTGTATATCAAAGCCAAATTCTTGATTCCTACCCTATTCTTCCCCTCATCTCCCCATCTCAGCAAATAGCACCCCCAGCCACCCACCTGCCAAAGCTAAACACACCACAAGAGTCATTCTTAATCCTTCTCCCCTCACACACGTCAGCCCCTCCAGCAGTTCCCAGGGGCTCACCCTCCAAAACATAGACTGAATTTTCCCACTTCTCCCCTCCTCCACTGCCACCACCCTCATCCACACCACCTGGACGCCAGTCATGGCTCCTTCCTGGTCCTCTCTGTGTCACCCCCTTACCTTCCACTGTCCCTGTGGTCTCTCTGGCACGGCAGCTAAGTGCAAACCTGCTGAGCATCAGGCCAACAACTGGCACAGCACTGGTGGGTGCCAGTCCCTCAGCCAAGCCACTGGCAGGGCCAGTCCAGATTCATCACATAAGGCACCTGCCAGGTATACAGGCACCATGATGCAGGTGATGGGAGCCCCCAGCTCAGAGAGGCCTCCTCTGACCCCCACCCACCTCAAGCATGACTCCTATCACTTGGTCACAGCTTTTATCACCACCATCCATCCTCATCTTCACTTTCATTTGCTAAATGTCAGTCTTCTCTGGATAGAACATAAACCCCATGAGAACAGGGATCTGGTCACCTTTGTCAACTCTGTTAAGTTCCTAACACATAACCACCACTCAGGAAATGTTTGCTGAGTGAATGTTTGAAGGAACAATGAGGCTCTGATGATGTGATGTCAGTGGAAACACTTGCCTTGTGACCCACAGCCCTTGTTCCTGGGGAGGGGCTCCTCAAAAGCAGGGGACACCCATACAGAGAGACCCCCAGGTGCCTGGCTGGGAAACAAAGAAGGTGGCATCCAGGAAGCTGCCCTCTCTTTGGCTCCTTTTGGCAGAGCCCAGGTATAGTGTGCCCTGCCCTGGACCCCAGCCGAAGCCTCACCAGGCTCCTCTTCCCCATGCAGTTCATCATCTCTGGGTCCCTCTCAGTGGCAGCCGAGAAGAACCGCACCAGCTGCTTGGTAAGTCTGAACCAGTGGGCCTGGGGCTAGGGATGGGGACGTCACTGAACCTGCTCTGTGCCTTCCTTCTGCTCATACATTCAGCTCATTTGGCCAGTGCATTCTGGGGCTGCCAAGTGCCAGGGGAGGGGCAGCCCCCCGGCAGACACAGACAGGCAGCATCTGGGAGCAGAGGAACAGAATACTCTCTCAAAACACAACACACGGTGGAAAGTGAGGGTCCAGGGACAACATGCTCATGGTCTCATTCCAAGAAAGGAAAGTTGCAAGAAGACCTGAGGCTCAGCGCCCATGGCTCAGTGGGTAGGGTGTTAGCCACATACATGGAGGCTGGCAGGTTGGAGCCCAGCCCGGGTCTGCTAAACAACAATGACAGCTGCAACCGAAAAAACAGCCGGGTGTTGTGGTGGGCGCCTGTAGTCCCAGCTACTTGGGAGACTAAGGCAAGAGAATCGCTTGAGCCCAAGAGTTTGAGGTTGCTGTGAGCTGTGATGCCACGGCACTCTACCAAGGGGAACATAATAAGATTCTGTCTCAAAAAAAAAAGACCTCCTGGAAGAGCAGATGGCCATGCCACGCCTACTTGGGCAGGGAGGACTTTAGACTGTGTGGGCAAGGGGCAGGGTTGCTATGGAAACTATGCACAACCATTAGACCAGAGCAAAGGTCTGGGAGGGAAAGTGGAAATTAGATGGAGAGATGTGTGGGGACTTGAGGAAGGCTCTGGCGCCTTCTGCTGGCAGCACAGAGATGACAGAGGCACTTGAACAGGACAGTCAGTATGGTCCCCTGCTCAGAGAACAGGGCAGCGAAGGTCATGGTGTTTACCTTCTGGTGCTCGGTAAGACACCCAAAGAACAAACTAACAAATAAGATAGTTTTGGAGTACAAAAAATGCTAAAAGGAAGCAGACAGGATAATGTGAGAGTCATTCTGCTCAGCTGGGATAGTTTAGGGTGCCTGAACAGGGCTCATCGAGCCAAGATCTCACAGTTCAAATGGCAACAGCCTCACAAAAAAGGCTGGCCATGAAATGACGTGGGCTTGGGAGAGGCGCCAGAGCACTGGGTCATCACAGATAGTAGGCGGTATGGGAGGGGCTGAGCTGGGAGGGAGAGGCGGACAGGTGACTCAGAAGTTAAATGCCAAATTTGGAATTTATTTTAAGGGCAATGAGCAGCACTGAGGTTTAAGCAGGGCAATCCTTGCCCTGTCTCAATTCTTGAGTGTAGTTCTGGGTGCTGGGCACAGGATGAGTCATGGAGGGGCAGGACTGGGAGCCTCAGCACCCAACCCGGCGTCCCCCAGGCTATAAACTGAGGAGGGCAGAGGCCTGACTTCTGCCCCTGTACTCACAGCACCTGAATAGTGCCTGGCCTGCCGTAGGTGCTTCCTGCAGGCCTGTTGAATTAGTTAACTGAGTGTCTATGAGGCTGCTCTGGTCTCATTGACTTCTTGGCTGTCGTTAAAAAGAAAAATCAGGGATCTTCGAACTTGAATGGGCCTGCCCATGAGTGGTTCCCCCTTTAAGGCCAGACTGTTTAACCAGAAGGCTTCAGCTACTGGATCACAAGAGTGCCAAGTTCTGGCTGCATGGGGATAGTGACCCCAGGGTGACTGCCTGGACCACCCCTGGGATTTACAATCCCTGCATGCTTTCTGGACACTGAAATTCTGGGCCTCTCGATGAGGGCTTGGCCCATCTGTCTTCCAGTCCTCAGCTCCTGGCTGTTTCCTGACTCAACCCTTCATACCGGGGTGTGCAGTGCCTCCCTCTGCCAGCTGCCACCTAGGGCCTCGTGATCATGACCTCAGCACCTCTCACTCACTGTCCACAGCAAAGGGCCCCCTGACTCCAGGCCACAGCTGCACCTTCAAGGCATACACCTGGGGGAGAGGGGCAGTGCCAGTCAGAGATGGGCAAGAGGCCTGCCACAAACCCTGCCCAGCGAGGCTATGAAGGCAGATGGGCCCTCTTCCCTTCTTCTGAGGTCCCAGGAAAGGAGAAGAGAAAAGGAGAGAGATCAACAGAGACGCAGGCGTGTGCAGGGCAGTGCATCCCGAGCCACGGAGGGAGAGTGCTGGAGGCTGGGTGGCTGAGCCATTACTTCTGTTCATTCTATTTCTGTTCGCTCTTCCCTGTGCTCCTGTCTCTCGCCCCATCCTCCATCCCCCTACCCCACAGGTGAGGAGCAGCCTGAGTATCAACATTCTCAGCGCCATGGCAGCCTTTGCTGGGACAGCCATTCTGCTCATGGATTTTGGTGTCACTAACTGGGTGTGTTGTCCAGTACCCCCAGGAGTGGGAAAACTTGGAAAATGATAGGGCCACATCCAAGAGGGGGAGGGAGGCAGAGTTTGCAGCAGCTGGGCATTGGCAGGGCCAGTAGACTCCATGAATATATGGACCGTCTGACCCTGCGCTGCGGTGGGCATCAGGGAGATGGAGAGACAGCCTGCAGGGTGAAGGGAAGGGTAGAGGAGGAATTGGCAGCAGGAGGACAGGCTCCAGGCACAGCTGCTTCTGACTAGTCAGGGGCAGCTGCAGATGGGCAATATATGTCCACATAGAGCTGTGTGACCTTAGGCAAATTACTCTCGTGTGGGGCTCACCTTGTTCTGGAACTCTGAGCTCGACTTGACTGTGGGTTTTGGTCCCCAGGATGTGGGCAGGGGCTATCTAGCTGTGCTTACTATCTTCACCATCCTGGAGTTCTTCGTTGCAGTCATCGCTACCCACTTTGGGTGCCAAGCCACCCGCGCCCAAGCCAACATGGTGAGTTCCCCCTGCGGCCCCCCTAAACCTGAAACTCTGAGGAAGGCAATTGGCCAGGGTGGCTCTCTGCCTCCAGCCCCCAGAATGTCACTGCAGTGAGTGTCCCACTCATACATGAGGGGACCCAGAGCATCTTCACACAGCTCAGTGAAGATGGGACTGTTCTTCTTGTGGCCAAGGAGGAGGGGACAGGTGGTACCACCAGACCTGCTGCCCTGCACAGCTACACCAGGAGCCTTATTACAGGGCTATGCCCAGGGGAGTGAACTCTTCAGGAATGCCAGGGGCATGTGTGGGGCAGGGCACATCACAGAGGGCAGCACAGCTGAGGTGGAAATTGAGCTGAGTTTCCCAGGAAATGAAGGGGGGTACTCACAGCAGGGGAGCCAGCTGGGGCAAAGGCTGCCTTGGCCGGAAGATGCTGGCCATAGAGGTGCAAGATGTGGGGCCATACCAAAGGTTTTTGAGGAGGGGACTGAGCTGGGTTTTTGAAATATTGGCCAAACAGGCTGCGTGTGGTGGCTCACACATGTATCCCTAGCGCTCTGGGAGGCTGAGGCAGGATTGCTTGAGATCAGGAGTTCAAGACCAGCCTGAGCAAGAGTGAGGTCCCGTCTCTACTAAAAACAAAAAAACTATCCAGGCATCATGCCAGGTGCCTGTAGTCCCAGCTACTTGGGAGGCTGAGGCAGGAGAATCACTTGAACCCAGAAGTTTGCCCAGCCCTTGCCCACCTCCCAAAGGTAGGAAGTTTGAGGTTGCTGTGAGCTATGCTGACACCATAGCACTCCACCCTGGACAACAGAGTGAGACTCTCACTCAAAAAAAGAAGAAAAAGGGAAAGGGAGAGAGGGAGGGATGGAAGAAATGAATGGAAATACTAGTCGGACAGATGACTTGTTCTGAGTGTAGGATTCAGACCCGCAGCTCTCACTACTATGGTGCTGTTCTCAGAATTCCCACAAGGGGGCACTACACTACTGCACCGCCTCCCTGCACTGGGTTTTCTTTGCAGCCGGTGATGTTCCTGCCAAATGCCTTCAGCACAGACTTCAACATTCCGAGTCCAGCAGCCTCTCCACCCCCTGCCTATGACAATGTGGCATATATGCCCAAGGAGTCATCGGAGTAGCAGGCTGGGACTCCCGCAGGTTGGAGTGTAGCCTCTCTCCACCTCACCTTGTTGCTTCCCCAGCTGTACCCCCCACTCACTCCCACATATTGTGGCACCTGAGGGGGGCACCCCCTAGGGTGTCTGTCCCACACTTATCTCCAGCAGTTTCTATCCTAAAAGAAACCAGGTTGATGTCAAAGGTCCTTCAGCTTCCTGAGCCCTGTCACCCCCATGTGCTTTTCTCTCTGCTCATCTGGGTTCAAACCAAAATGGAGACTTGGGTTCGTGGCCTGCCATGGCCCTCAGGCTGTGAGAAATGTCAGTAAGCTTAGACTGCCCAGATCCCCAGAAGGGAGTTGAGGCTGACCCTAGCATTGCACGGAGGTGCAGAGATCAGTCTGAGGTCTGACTCAGGTCTCCTGGCCCCCTTTGTCATCTGCCACATCTTGGGCCTCCCACCTGCAAACTAAAGTGCTGAACCGGAGATCCTGTAAGGCCCTTCCAGCTCCCTGGACTTCCTGAAGTCCTGGGTCTAGACCAGGCATGGTCCCCTCACTGCCTTCAGTAACACTCATTTTCCTGATCTCTAATATGGATTCAGGGTTGACCCCAGCCCTTGCCCACCTCCCCAGGTAGGAGGTTTGCAGGGGGGGGGGGCTGAACTCAGCCCATTCCTGATGTATGCATGGACAGGTGTGCAGTGATGGGGTTTGGGGCCTCCCTGTGCCTTTCAGCACCCCCTTCCCCAGCCCCACAGCCTGAGGACAAGGCCATCCCTGAGGTTCACTACAGGAGCTGGACTGGGTCTCAGGGGGTGAGGAGATACCACCAGCCCAGTATTCATAGACCCTGGAAGATGGCTTGTCTCATCCATACCCCAGAGGGAAATAAACAGTGTGACTTAAACTGTGAACTAGACTCATTACAATGACTTTTTTTAACCTCAGAGGCTTCAAGGGTCATCCTGTGTCTATCATAGTACTTGGGTAACTGTCCCACTGTCACAGCACAGGGACATCTCTGGGTTCTGGGTGCTGGGTGCTGTGCTCTGTGTCCCCACCTCAGCCCAAACAAGCAGGCATTCATATCTCTGATTCATAGCTAAGAACTTAAATAGGTCCCATGCCTGAAGCCACCAAGCTAGTAAGAGCAGGATTTGAACCCTGCTCCATCTGACATCAGAACTAATGCATGCTCTTATCACACGGGCTCTCACCCTAGTCCAAACCAAAGTGTCCCCCCAAACCTGGGATTTGAACCCTACTCCATTCAGCATCAGAGCCGATGCATGCTCTCACCACATGGGTTCTTACCCTAGTCTAAACCAAAGTGTTCCTCCAGCTCCTTTCCCTCCTTCCTTCTGTTTCTTCATCCCAAAGACTGGGCTAGGACTGTGTTCCTAATACACCCACTTCTTCATCAAACAAATGCCTGCTCCTCCTTCGAGACCCATGGAGGGTGGGGCAGGGACTATGTGGTGTAAGAAGGCACTCACTCCTGGGGCGGTGCCAGTGCAGAACCAGGTGGGGGTTACAACAAACCTTGGCTTTCAAAATCAAGAGAGAGTGATAGATGAGTACAAAATGAACAATGACAGGTGGCCATCAGCCCCATGTGCGGAAGACCAGGGTAGGGGGTCAGGTGCCTCCCGCAGGGCTGCTGACTGCCCAGCCTCGCCCTTCAACCCTCAGGGCAGGGTGTGTGAACTCTAGGCTGAGTGTGTGTGACCTGGGCATGCACACCACATTGAACATCAAGGCAGCTGAACGTGAGTGACCCCTCCCCACCACATTGAACATCAAGGCAGCTGAGCGTGAGTGACCCCTCCCCCGCCCCTGGAGTCCACAGTGACTAGAATAATCACGCACAGCAACTAAGACCAGCAAGCACTGCCGTAACCATCTGACATTTGCTGACTCATTTAACACTCCAGCAACTCCATGGGTATTATCATCCCTGCTGAAGAGGGGAAAGAGAGGAAAGCTGAAGCCCAGAGAGGTCAAATAGCCCACCCAAGATCACACTGCTATGAAGCGGTGGAATCAAGATTTGAAGTCAGGCAACCAGGATCTGGAGTCAACTCTGAAGTGCTATGCTGTGGTCCTGGCAGTGAGGTCTGTCTGACTCAGCTACTGGGCTCCACATCAAGATCCCTTGAGAAACCAGATGGATGTGAAGGAGCCTACAGTGGGATGGGGGTCAGTGAGGGCCACTCCACACCTCCTTCACCAGGAGGGCCTCTCAGAGACCCTGCACCCCTCCCAGGAGACAGCGCCACACACAGAGCCAGGGCTGGGAGAGGGTTTCAGGGCAGAGCCAGAGGGATTGTTTGGATCTGCCTAATGCAGCTTGTGGGTCATGCCTAGATCCCAACTGGGGCAAACCAAAGGTAACAAGACATTTGTGAGACAGTCAGAGAAATGTGAACACTGACCAGAGAACTGACACCTATGAGTAGCAAAAACTGGGTAAGAACAGGTTCTTCGGACTCCAAAATTTTAAACTGTCCTTTATAAGAACAGTTTCTAAACATGCAGCCAATCTCAGTGGGGCTGCAGGGTTTCGTGTTCAGAATAAACATGCCTCAAAATGCACCAGGAATTAGTTTTAATTTCTCAGTTGTGATCATGTGGTCACACTTTTTAAACAAACTCATTGTCTTTTAGAGATAAATACCAAAATGTTTACCAATAAAATGAGAAGATGCCTGTGTTTTCTTACTGATGGGGAGAACAAGGTGGGATAAGAGCTGATGATGACTCTGGCCTGGGCTTGGGGACCAAGTGGTTCATCGGACCATTCTCTCTACTTTTGTGAATGCTTGAAATTTTCCAGAATTAAACAGATTTGTTCATAAAGTTCAACTTCTGACTCTAAGGCAGCGGTTCTCAACCTGTGGGTGGTGACCCATAGGAACTGTATTAAAGGGCCAAGGCATTAGGAAGGTTGAGAACCACTGCTCTAAGATTACAACTACCTTCACCCCATCAGTCCCAGATTGTAAACAGGTTAAATTGTTAATATTTTCCTTGCCAAAGGAAATTTGTGATTATAAAAGAGAGAGACCAAAAAAGGCACTAAGATTTTTCAGATGCCGGGATTCAGGGAATGGAGAGAGACTTTAACAACTTCCACACAACTGGGCGGGAATTGGGGCTGGGAGAGAAAAGATGCAAAGTCTAATTAACGCTGTAAAGATGTTCTGATTTTATGGCACTGTGTCCGTGGGGCTGAGATGTCTCCGGAGGCCAAAGTGCAGCTGGAAGCTCCTGGCAGAGGTCCTGGAGCCAGGTGCTCTCCTCGAAGCAGTGACAATGGGGGTAGTGTTTGGTGACTCCACATGTGGTGGAGGGGATGCCCAGAAGCACAGACTTGGTCCCACCTTGAAGCCAGGGGCTGGCCTTTTATACTCTGATGTAGTGGTCTCTGACTACAGAATTGGGGGTAGGGGAGTGAGAGAAGAAACTCAGTTACGGCAGCTGGAGAAGGGGTGCCCCACCCAGGAGCAAGGATCTGGGAACTGGAGGGGGCCACCATCAGCCTCTACCCCAGTGAGAAGATCCCCACCCACAGCCCCATCTGCCACCAGTCACTGCACATCAGAGCCAAGAGGTCTCCCCACCCCTTCCACACCAATCCTGGAAGCACACACAGAGACACAGAGGGGCCACGTGGGGCCAGAATTAGAATCCAGGACTCCTGAGCCGTCTCAGAGGGAGGCCTCTGTTTCTACAGGTGACCCCTCCCCCACCAGGCACTCTGTCCCGAACCCAGGAAGGAGGTTTTGGCACACTCAAGGGCTGTTTGGTAACTGACATTTGCTGAACCCCCAATCTTCTAAGGGTCCAATCCCCACCATCCTCTCCATCACATGGTATGACACTGTCACTCAGAACCTCTCAATCCCTGCCTTTGTCTGCTTGACATGCACACACGCACACGCACACGCACACGCACACACCCTCTGACGCTCTACCTCCACTGCACAGTCTGATTAGGGCCATGTTATTCGTGCCTGGATTTTCTCTTCCTGATCAACTATAAACCTTCCATGGATGAATCTCACTCATTCCTGCCTGGGTCCCTATAGTGTCCCCTGAAGAACACCATAGAGTCCATGGATTTCCAGGAATGCCAGTTTGGGGTGTCAGATCACTAGCTTTGTACCCTGGTGCTCTTACCTCCCCACACCCTTCCTCTCTGCAGGAGGCCAGAGCTCTCATGGCCCTCTTCCCCTGTGAGCAGGAGGGATTGGAGGCAATAAATGCCCCGCTCCAGATGACATCTTAACAGAGAACAAGATGAGGACAAGGTGGAGCCTTGCTGGCAGGATTCCAGGCATGCAGAGGGCTGGCGTTAACACAGGTGACATTTATTGCTACGTGCCAGGCCCTGCCTGTGTCAGACATAACCCCGGTTAATCCTCACAACCCAGAACAGGTGCAAGCCCTCCCTGTGTGTAGACATGTAGAGACCCTGCCCAAGGTCAAGGTTCCAGGGAATTGAGCCAGGTGTTGGCCCAGGCTTGTCCACTTCCAAGCTCACAGTCTGGCCCATTCTTCTCCTCTGCTTAGGGGGATGGGGGGTTCCGGAGGTCCTGCCAGCTCTGTCCCTGCCCTCCCAGTTCCCCCAGAGCCAAGGAAATAAAAGGAATATGTGTGGGACCCAAGCAGCAGGTGGCCCTGGGCAGAGCATCAGGGCCCTGGGGGAGGTGGCTTTGCCTTGGGATGCCAGGCTGTCCTGGCAGGATGGGGAGGGGCCAAAGCTGAAAAAGTCCCTCCCATGCCCCCCGAACAGCCTGCTGTCTGTCCCTGTCCCTCAGCTCACCTCTACCCCCAAGCAGCCCCGTGCAGGTCCTAGGGGGCCAGAGAGGGACAATAGGCCATGAATAGGCCTTCCAAAGTATCAGAGTTCACGCCTATAGTCTCAGAAGATGGAAAAAAAAACCTCAGAACAAACAGACTTTTTCCTCTGGTATTTTCCGCCTGACCTCTGCAAATCCTTCCCCTTCCAGCTACATGAAGTTCCTGATAACGGCTCTCTGACACCATGAAAGAAGTATTTAAAGTTGGGAGGAAGCCTACAGATCATCATCCAGTTCCCAGTCCCACTGTGATATGAGAAAACCAGGAGAGCAAAGATAGCCAAAGAATAAATAAATAAATAAATAAAACCTCAGAACCAGGAATTCGAAAGCTCAATGTCCAAAAGCAGACCCCACAGAATACCAATTGCCTGTAATCATTGGACTGTGAGCAAAAAAGGTTCTATGGCCCATTTAGTTTGGGAAACACCCTTAATATGAAAATAGAGTGGCCCACTGCAGGAATTCTCAGAGTCTTTTATATGAGATAGGGTGACAAGAGTATATCCAGGCTTTCCCAAACTTGTTTGACTTTGAAACTGTTTTCCTGCAGATTTCTCAGGACCCGTGTTCCATGGAACATATTGGAAAAGGTTACTCCAGCTTCTTAAAGCCAACTACATAATGGACATTTGAACTGCTCCCATTGGCACGGCTCTCATTCATGAATGCCCACATGGTGGTGCGTCCCTGGTGCTGCTCATGATCCCCAGATGACACATTCCACCGGGGACACCTCTGCAGTGAAGTCCTCCTTCTTGCACTTCCCTGTGGGGTCCAGGCTCAGGTGCGGGTCCTGCCTCCCAGGTGCACAGAAGTGAGGCTGCAGCCAGTGGCTGAACTGGTCTAGGTCTCTGCCACCAACATCCCTTAGTCCCCCTGGCCGGGTCAGAAAGGCTACTGCAGAGGTGCTAACTGACAATTTCTAGGCAATGCTGGGTCAGGTCACGGAAAAGAGAGTCACACAGTCTTGTATCTTTGAGCTCTGCTTCTGAAGCTCAAGAAGGAGGGAGACCCTGACCCCCACCCCTCCCCACTGAATCAGGGGCTGTCACCACAGGCCAATGGAGATACCAATCAATGAGGAGGGGTCCCATCAAGCAGCCCAGGCCCAGAGCATTGGCAATGGAGTAAGACCACGTGTGGTTCCAGTGCCAGGCACTTCCTCACTGTGTGACCTTAGGCAAGGCACACAACTTCTCTGAAACTTCCTTTCCCCTTCTACATAATGTTGTTGACATCTGGGTATTAAGGGAGGTCGTTACGCAAATCTGCCCTTCCCTGGGTGCCTGGCACAGCGTGCTCTCCTGCCACCAGGCCTCATCTGCCTCTCCTGGAGAGTCTCCTTTCCTTTCCCCCATGTCTACGATATAGTTTCTAGGACTATCTGTCCCTCCCAACACCCCAAGGCTCTTTCCCTGCCATAGAAAGGAATCCCTGCAGCTCCAAGGAGGGAAAACTGGAAAATGCAGGTGCAACCTGAAATGCGGTGCTCAAACAGGATCTCCTGAATTCCCGAGTCAGGCTCAAATCAGGAAGGATGCCACCCCTCTCGTTCTTCTGGGACAGAGTCTGGGAGCAGCCTTGTCCCCATGGAGAAATCATCCCCTAGCCCAGCCCCCACACGCTCCCTTCTCCTCCCCTCTCCACTCTGGAGAGACTCCAGCTTTTCTCACCAAGTCACCAGGCAGCCCCCGAACCCGGAAGTGCCCTGCAGCATGGATATAGGCTGCGATGACCAGGCCCTCTTGGAACACAGTTCTTGTAGTCCCCTACTAAATTTTACCCCAACCCCTTTCTTATGCCCTCAAAACAACCAGAACATTCCTTTTTATCCATTGAGTATAGGAAGCATTTAATTCCACAGGCTCTGGAGCTAACCTGCCATGCTTCAGGTCCAAGCCATTTATTGGCTGCGTGACCTTGGACCAGTGGCTTAACCTCTCTGACCCTCATCTTAAGAATAAGGGCAATATTGACCTCATAGGGTTGAATGAGTTTAAAATCAGATAATGCATATAAAATGCTTATCCCAGTGCCTGGCACAGAGAAAGTCCATGTACACATTAGCACTGTTGGCAAATACTGACCTCTTGGCTTAGGGTTGGCTCATAAGTCCTCAGTGGAAGAAGTTTCCTTCCCTTCTCCCCACAAACCCAGGACAGACATTGCCACAGAAGGTAGGGCAATTAATCTGACTGAACCTGCCTTCAGCCGCCGATCCTGGGCCAGTGGAATGGTTTATAAAGCCTGCCCCCAACCTGCACAGTCCTCCTGCTCCTTCTGGCTCCTATTACACTGTGGTCTGGCCAGTTTGGGTGAGCTCTGCCTTGCACTGGGTGTGAAGCCTGTCTAGTCCATGTTTTTCTGCCCCAAAAGGAGCTGTGTCTTTGCAACCCAGAGAGGCTGTGAGCAGCAGTTTCTCCCCATCCACAGGGGCCAGATTCTTCCAGATCAAATCAAAGCCAGAGGCTGCTGGGCAGGGCAACTTCTGTTCTGGGAGGCCCAGTCCAGAGAACAGAGGTGACAGAGTCCCGCCCAAGCCCATGTCTCAAAAACAAGACGGCTTCTGACCTGGCCTTTCCTCTTGGTCTGCAGCCAGGGGCCCAGCCAGAGTCAATGGCAGCAGAAGCATACACAGCCACTACCGTCCTTCCTGGCTTTAGTGCAAACCCATGGCAGGCAAGTCCACCCCAGGTGACCCAGCCCAGGCTCCCAGCTCCATATCAGCACCAGGAGAAGCTCTGGAAGAGGAACGGCCTTCTCCAGGAGCTGGGCGTGAGTCTATGTCCCTGGCTGGGGAGGGGAGGGACACATCGGGAGGGCACAGGACTCAAGGAGAGACAGGAAGGGAGAAAATCCCCCCATTTCCGGCCTGTCACTTAGCCTAATCCTGAAAAAGCCTTACGGAGTGCAAAGCCTGCCTAAACCACTGTCTTGGGAGGTTTGGACAGGACCTCATGGTGGGGGTGACAGCAGGGAGGGGCTACAGCTGTTGGAGCCAGCTCCAAGACAGGAGGCCCCCCCTCAGGTCTCCCTGCAGGGAATCCTGGGCAGTGGCTCTTTCTTGCAGACCAGGATTTATAAGAGCAGCAAAGGGACTTCCCTTAGCCAATAGGACCAGCCACCAATAGCCTCACCTGGGGCCAGTCACTGATGCCCTGGCCTCAGCAGCTTGCTGTCTCCTCTCCAGGCCTTCCATATCATCATCGCTCTGCTGCACCTGCTCATTGGGGGTTATTTGGCCTTTACAGTCAGGAGTCTGCACCTGGTGGTACTGAAGTCGTGGTTTCCGTTCTGGGGAGCAGCCTCTGTGAGTAGGAGCCAGGGTATAGGCCGGCTGTGTGGGGTCCACAGGGCAGGCCTGGGAGGCTCTGGCATTTGGGATGGGATGTGGTGGGGAGCATGCTAACAGGAGCAAAGCATAAGCCGGTCCCTCTCTCCCATGCCCCATCTCTACTTCTGTTCTCCCAGTCACCCCAGAAATAGCTTCTTCTTGGGGGCCCCTGTCAATCCTGAGTCTCAGGAGAGTCTCCCCTCATTGCTCACGTACACCCAGCAGGGTGGAGGAAGAGTGTGAGCTGGGGACAGCTCCATTCTTACTCCACTGTCTGAGCAGCCAGGGTGCCTTTGGGCACAGCAACAGGTCCCTAGGGCCCCATCGGGGTTGGTTTATGGGAGCACACAGGGTGTCAGGCCATCTGCCGGGATAGAAGATGGCATGGGACTGTGCAGGCACATTGCCCAGAAGCTCCCGTTCCTCCTGGTGGAGTCCTGCTTACAAGTTGAGTCCCAGCCCCAGGGCACCCTCTTGTGCAAGTGTCCTGACCCATCACTTTCACATCAGCCCTCCGTCCCCTCTCCCCCTGGCTTGGACCTTGCACTGCACGGCAATAGAACGTTCTCCCCGTGCAGGGGCTGTTCATCCTGCGCTCCCAGGACTGACATGTAGTAGGGATCAGCGAACACTGGGAGGAATGGTTACAGAGATACACTGGACACCTTAGGACCAAGGGCCAATGTCCTCCCAACCACAGAATTCAGAAAAGAAGCGAGAGTTTGGGAGAGGGGACAGTGCAGCTGATGCCAGAGAGGTGGGCTGGGGGCCTTCTGAGTGCAAGGCAAGGCTTGGCACAAGGTGTAGAGATGAGACAAGGCGGGAAGGTGGACAGTGGGGCAGGGCCTGGGAAGGGCCATGTGGCAGGCAGGAGGAGCTCGCCTAGTGTGCTCTCTGCCCCTCTGGCCATCAGGGGCTGGTTTTCTTGGAGGATGCAGAGAAAGGAATTTGTGGGTTTCCAGCAACCCCAACTTGTCTCCTTTGACTTTCAACTCCGGCCTGCAGTTTCTCATTTCAGGGATCTTGGCAGTCACGGTGCAGATCTTTCCCAAGACATATCTGGTGAGTTGGCATGTGGAGATCATTATCTTCCTTCCAAGCCTGGAGTAACCTGGTCCAGGGCATCTGTGTGACGGGGACAGTGGGCAAGCAATCCTCATGCCTCCAGGGGAGCTGAGGGCATCTGAGCAGAAGGGTCTGGATCCAGGCTGGCAGGTTTGGCTGTGGGAGAAAAGTTCCATCTGAGGGTTCTGTCTTCCCAGCGTCATGAAGTAGAGAAGGATGAGCTGGTTCCCTGCACCCCAAACTCTACTGTCTAGAACAGAGCTTTGCTTTCTCCCAAATCTGCCGAGTTTTGATATTGGTCACTACACAGCCTGCGAGTCCCAGTCCACGGACTCCACTTCTCTTCTCTGAGAGCCAAGCAGATACAATTGCCATCCCCTAGTTCTGCCTGAGCCCTTCACCCTCTCTGCTGAGCATGTCTCTCTCTTTCCCTGCCCTTCTTCAGGACTCAGCTAGTACACCTCATCCTCCCTCCCAGGGTCCTCCCAGTGTGACTGGTTGCAGTGTGCCCACAGCCCTGGGGACTCGCTTGTCTCTGCCACACACTAAGCCACGTGGGCAGCATGTCTGAGCATCTTGTAGCCCAGAGTGGCCCAGGTAGGCACAGAGTAGACCCTCGACACAAGACTGGATGGTTACAGGTGGACGGATGATGGAAGGACCATTTCTACAAATCACGTTTCCCACCCCTCCCCAGAAGCCCTGGTCTGGTCCCTCCGTGTTTGTGGCTAGGCTGTGGCTCTTCCCTGCTGTCTCAGGGGACATAGAGACTACGACCCAGGATCCAAAGGTCTGTCCAGTGAGCAGCCTGACCCACCATGCCTTTGGATCTTGCGTGCCTCTGGGCCAAGATCCAAAGGTCTGACCATGGTGGTTTGCTGTGCACTTTACCCAGCAGAGGTGGGAGATGCTGGCAAGAGCCCCTTCCAGAACCATAAGCCTCTCTGTTCCAATACCTGAGCACAGGGACCCTCTTACTGCAATGGAATTCATTCTACTATACAAGGCTATAGAATTCATATGTTTATACTCTTTCTCCATCATAGTGGGAGGCTCAGAATAATGCTTAACCCAAAAGGATGATGACTATAGGTATTTCAAGGACCATGGTGGGGGGAGGGTGCAGGAATGGGAAGAGACACTGAAGGGTGTGAGGATGGGACATGAGCAGGGCTCCTCCCAGCCAGTAGGGTGGTCCAGCTGGCTTTGATGGACGGGGGACAGCAGCAGGGCATCCTTTATTGTAAAGCTCTGTGATCTGGAGGCAGGTCTTGGGTTCTCCCAATTGGATCTGTGGAACATGACAGCGATCTGGGTCTTCCTCAGTGGTCAGTAGCTCAGCTGCTTGTGTGGGTTATGAGTCCTGGGAGGAAGAGCTCGAGCCAGGTCTCTGACCTCTGGATATTTTTCACTTGCAGAAGGTCCTATGCCTGATGACAAATCTTGTCAGCCTCTTCTGCGTGCTGTCTGGCCTCTTCATCATCATCAAGGATCTCTTTCTGGAGAGCCCTTTTGAGTCCCCAATCTGGAGAACATACCCTAACTCCACAGTGAGTGCCTGGACCCAAGGCTCCTCTGACTCCAAGTGAGGTGCTGCCTTGGGTTTGGCCAAGAGCAAGTTCCTCATTCCCATTCCCCAGCCCCAGCACAGGCAGCTGCGCCGCCCACCAGTCTGCACTGCCTGTCCCAAGGCAGATGGGGCAGGCTGCTCACTGTACAGTATCAGGGAACTAGACAGGGCCTTGAGTCATAGTCATGGGGTCCAATCCCACTGTTATAGATGGAAGACCAAGGCCCAGAGAGGAGGCAGGGCTCATCCAAGTTCCAGCAGCCAGTTGGTGGAACATCTAGGTTCACAACCTAGAACTGCCAATTCCCCAGCCAGGGCCCTATCTATGCTGTCCTGGTCACCCCGTCACTGGGAGCCTCCCTACAGCCTTGCAATGCTGACCAAGTCCACTTTTTACCTCCCTTGTGTGGAGTGAATACTGACATGCATGGAGGCTGAATTAGTATACCAAGGCAGGGTACATAAGTCAGGGGTACAGTGGGAACTCACAGCCGGGTGGGTCTATGACTCCAAGCCCAATGCTTATTCACCACATCACACCTGCATCTGGAGTTGAAGATGGGTCAGCCATTCTCAGCTGTGTGCCTCCGGGCCAGGATCCAAAGGTCTGACCATGGCGGTTTACTATTCTTTATCTCCCCTACCTCACACGTGTGCCTGCACATACACGCATGTGCACACATGCACAACACAAATGCTCATGATCCTGAGAGATGTCACCCAGCTGCACAGTGGTCCTCAGCCCAGCTGTCCCCCAGCCCTGCTATAAAAGATGCTCCTTCTCTCTGGACATAGGCATCCCCACCTGAAATGCAAGCTTGGATCAGATGACCCTAAGGCCATCTTCAGTCCTACAAGGACTCACATGGTTCCCCAGACCTCAAACCTTAGGAAATATTCAATGATGCCCTACAGGTGCCAGGTGCTGAATGCCCGGCAGTGACTGAGACAGAGCCAGGCCCCATTCTACCCTCCCCAGCATGCCTGAGAAACAAAGCCACATTGCTCCCTGCTAGGACTGACCCCCCAGCCCAGCCAGGCCCATGACTGGGTGCAGACACCTCACCCAGCATCCCTCCTTCCCCGCAGGTCTGGATTCAGAGGCTGGAGCTGGCCTTGTTCTGCTTCACTTTCCTGGAGCTCTTTGTGCCAGTGGCCACCGCTGTCATAGCCTGCAGGGAGGACCACCTGTCAGCAGAGGTGAGGCCCTTCTCCAGGTGCAAGCCCTCAAGAAGTGGGGAGTAAGGCCACAGAGGACTAAGAAAGCAGTGATGGCAGGCAGGGTGACAGAGGAGCCACTCTCATTCACACCTATGCTGCTGAGCAGTGTCCTCAGTGGTGACCCACAGCTCAGCAGCGAGCCAAGGTGTGGGGGCAGGAGAAGCTCAAGATGAAAGGGGTGAGGTCTCCAGGAAGCAAACGCAATGACACCAGAAGGTCGGGCCACGGTGCTTGTAGCTCTGAAGGCCCCTGGGAAATTGCACTGGGGAGAAGGGAAAGGATTTGGACCCACAGATACATAGGGGAGCAGGGACCTCCAGCAAGAGCACTGGTTGGAGACAGGACACGGGAGGCCAGGGCGGCTACAGTGTGGGAGAGGAATTGTAAGACTGAGTTCTTACACGGCATCCCAGGCCCTATGTTAAGCACTAGATGGGTATACAGATATACAGATGAATATAAATTTCATCTTCTCAACAACTTTTTGAGGTAGGTAATTACTTCCCATTCTACAGACAAGTAAACTGAGACTTGGAGAGGCCACATCACTCCCCCTGGCCAAACAGCCATTAAGGAAATCCAGGACTCAGCCCACAGTGTGTTAACCCTCAGCCAAGCCCTTGTCTACCAGTGGGGATGGCAAAATGGCAGACTGGGGCCAGGCATGTTCTAAAAAATAGAAGACTAGTCTCTCCCCACCCTCACCAGAAGTGACTAGAATCCTATCTATTCTCAAGGATAGGCAGGGTGGGGAGTCACGCACTGCCTCCTGGAAGTCATTTCATCTCTCCAGCCTCAGTTTCTTTGCATTCATGGGGAACTTGAACCTTTAAAAGCAAAGCAGTGGGAAAGTGCTTTGTCAATAGCCATCACCCTACGGGAGTGAGCAGCAGGGATGTGATTCCTCTTTTGCAGGAGGATAACTTGTACCTTGCTCCTGACACACCACTGGAACCCAGGCATCTGTCGAAGGACCTTCCACCTGCCTATGAGGAAGTAACTCAAGGCACACACGGAGATGTAAAATATCCCACAGCCCCTCCTCTCGACACAGATGGGAATGAGTCCCTGGGGAGCTGGTGAAACCGTCTGCCCCAGGGGTGGTGGCCAGGATAGAGGGCGACCCCATCCTCCCAGGCACTAGAGGAAACTCCAGGCCCCACCTGGAGGCATGGTCTTAGCATAGGACTTGCTGGGCTACATCAGCTGAACTGGAGCATGACCAGGACCCACTGCCCTCCAGAACAGACCTCTAGGCCAACAGCCTCAGGATCCCCCCAGCCCCAAGCCTCCCTCACCTGCCTTCTCTAATGAATGGGATGGTGAATGCACAGAGATCTATGAGGGGAGCCAGAGGAGGCCCTTGGAGCCAGGGGGAGACATGGTCTCTGGGGGGAACATGTACATCTGAATCCCTGGATCTGGGGTGGGAGCAGCTGGGGAATTGAGTCAAACAGAATGAGTCTTTTTTGCCTGTCTGGGCCTCGGTGTCTCCATCTGTAAAATGGGGGGAGAGGCGGCATCTGAAGTGATCCAGGAGCCTCCAAGCTCAAAGGCTCCAGGACCAGGACTTGAATTCAAGGTTCAGGTTGTGACATCTGAGGGCACGAGGAAACTTTCCCCCTTGGAACTCCAAACCCACTTGTGCTAGGTAAACAAGGGGAGAGAGAGAGACCTGCCTTCCCCATTCCCCAAATTTCAGTCGTCTAAGGACAGTCCTTGGGATTTTTTTGCCTTTTTGCAGACTATATCATACTCTTTCTGTTTCCTTAAATGGATTATTTTCTCTATATTATTATAAAAGAGTACTTTGTAGCAGCAGAAATATTGGAAAATCAGTATCTTTCCATAAATAGAAGTTAACCCCCCAAATAACATATACACAGTGAAAATAAAGCTTGACTGCCTGCCCCACATCTCCCTGACTGCCTCTCTTCCTTTGCTCTCTCCATTCTAGCCTCCCTGGCTTCCCTGGGTGCCCCAGATGCCCCACGCACCTCCCCGCTTTTGAGCCATCCCTCTTGCCCTTCCTCTGCCCAGACTCTGTTCCCCCAACATTTTCAAAGCCCATTCTTTGAATCTTTGCCAGGCCACTAACTCTGGGCCAAGTAAATGTCACTTAATCCTCCCATCACCTGTGACATAGGTGCTGTTACTATCTCCATTTCATGCAGGCTCAGAGAAGTTTAGTACGCTGCCCAAGAATACACGGCTAGTAAGTAGCAGAGCTGGGATTCCGGACCAGCTCAAGCTAAAGTGCTACCTCCTGACCATGCCCAGACTTGGTGGTCACATTGCCCCTGCTATCTTTACACTGCACTTTCACAGAGAAGGTGAGGTTTGTACATACAAAAGGCTACCACAACAGTCTCTGCAGCAGTCAGCCCTCGTAGCTCACAGGAACCCTGTCCTCCCAAACAGGTGGCTTCCTACACAGTTGAGGCCTCAATGCATTTCTGGCCCAGGGTGTGAGTTGTTAGGAATAGCAGTCCTCTCTGCTGTCCTGTAAATTCCCTCGTGTGCAGGGTTGCCCTCAGTATCATTTGCCCTTGTGCCAAATATCCCTGGGGTTCCAGGTTCTTTGGATTCCCCTATCTGCTCTGGCCCCTCTCTTGCCACCACTTTTGGCTATCACCTCTGGCTGTGGCCACTGGCTTGCCATAGCGCCTCTTCTTTCCACTTCTGACGTGCTGTTTCTAACCTTCTATGGGTCACAGCTAGCTTTAGGATGCCACATGGGGTAGAAGTCATGGAAATCTCTGAGACAGTGGCATGGGGAATCATGCAAAGGTTTAGGACAAATCTGATCTTTCAAAAGATGAAGGACATGATGGAGAAACCTCAGCTGGTCTGTCTGAGAACCTGGGTGCAAACTCCAGCTTTGCCAGTAACTCACTGTGTGGTCTCGACTCAGCCCTTCCCCTCACTGGGCTCCTCATTTATAGAACTGAATATTGTGCCAGACTGGGGGTTGTAACAACATCAGCTTTGACTCATATTCTTTATGGATCAGTAAATGGAAGACTTATTAGAACAATGTTCCCTTTGAAAAAGGCCTCTGCAGGTGCCTGGTGGAGCCCAAGCAGAGTTCGCAGGCCTCAGTCCAGCTCAGCCACAGGACCTGCTGGGTGGCTTCCATCACTCAGCTGTTGGTGTCTTCGGCACAGAATGCAGAACCCCTAACACCAGGTTACCAAGGGAAAGCAATTTTTGACTACTGTTGATACCGTAACTAAATTTTAATCTACATTTTTTTATATATCCAGCTCCCAAACTAAACCTGTTATTCTTACCCCTTATGAAAAAAAATTTTTAAATGCAGAAAAGCTAAAAGAATAGTACAATGAACGTCCTCACGCCCTCCACAGAGATTAGACAGGTGTTGATATTTTGTGTATTGGGTTTCCATCTTTCTCCCTCTATGTCTCTTGATACACTTGGATGTGTGTATATATCAGCGGTTCTCAATTGTATTAAAGAGCTGCGGCATTACGAAGGTTGAGAACCACTGGTGTATAGAGAGCATGTATGAGGCATATATGTATATATACACCTATGCAGACATTCATACATATATATATATATATTTGTTGTTGTTATTGAACTATTGGAAAGTAATTTACAGACATCCTGACCTGTTGTGTCCAAATTCTTCCACCTATATTACCTCCTAAGAATAAGTACATTTTCCTACATAACCAAGATGCTATTGTCACACTAAGAAAATTAAAAATAATTCCATAATCCTAATACCTTGAGTGAATTAGGCCCTCTCAGATTTTCTAAGAAAAATCCCTTATGGTCAACCATTCATAGATTCAGTCCCATCTACAAATTATCTTCTCCGCAACACCTAGAATAGATTAGTGTCTGACTGAATACCTGGGGACTGTGTCCTCGCCAAATGATGATCAAAAGATAGTCTCTGACACACAGAAGCAAGTAAAGTTGCAGAACAAGGGATGGATAAGATGGATATTGTAGAAGTATCTTTGGCAGGCTGGAGGGGGTAGTCCTCAAACGTTCCCTATGTTAGCAGACAGAGTCCATCCCCTTAGCTACATCTACCGAGCACAGCAGGAACTTGTGTGAGAAATCCTCACAAATATCAGTTCATGGTTTGGGAAACTCAGGCACAGACAGGTTAAGTAATTTCCTTGAAGTCACACAGCAAAAAAAGTGGTAGAATCAGTGCTCACACTTAGTCGGATGCCATGAGCTCTGTTACATCTGAAGTGACTAAGCAGTTTGTCAGCATCATTACTATTTCTCAGGGATCTTATGGGGAAAGGGCTGTGATTGTCCCTATTTTTCAGGCAATGACATTAAGGTTCAGAAAGGCTGCACGATGCAGCTCTGTGGTGGCAGAAACAGGACTCAAGTCCTCATCTGATGGACCACACAGCCCAGGCTCTTCACCTCCCTGAAACAGAAGTGAAAAAGCCTCTCTGCAGGGAGTCTGGGGAGTGAAAAAGCAAATACAGAACAACAGAGGTTAGGAGGACCAGGGACAGGTGTTAAGGGAAAAAGAGAGGGATGGGGTGGCCAGGGATGTGTGGCAGGAGGATGTGACGCCTGAGCTGAGTCCCCAAGAGAGGAACTGCTTAGTGGCAGAGGGCATGGTGTGGATATAGGTGCAGATGAGGGAAGCAGGGAGCAACGGCGGCCTCCAGAAACAGGAACCCCCCTGTACGCAGAGGTTATCATCCCAGGCCAGTGGGTAAGGTAAAAATCATGTCAGGTTAAAGTTGTCCTAGAAAATCCCTTAAATTCTCCCCCAGAATTCAAAACTGCAAAACAGACCAACTGAAGATTCAGCACATTCCGTCTTCCATCTAGACTCACTTGGGCAGGTGGGGGACACCCCAGCTGTTTAAATCTTACTTTTTTGGCCCCCATACCTCATGGCAGGATGGGAGGTGAGGGGGAAGGGCCTGGAAAGTTGAACATGAGGAAATCAGTGTCCCATTTGGGGGGTCTGCTTGGAGTCAGCGGGACTGGGCTGAAGCACATGGCAGAGACTG